GTGTGTGTGTATATATATATATATATATATATTTAATCACCTTTAATCACCCACCCATGAATCACGTTTGATATAGGGATTGATCTGGTGCATCTCGGTGCATCTCATCCTAATGTACATCCAATGGTGGAGGTCATTTCTTACGCTTATCAACTTAATTCTCCTTCCCACTAGATACCAACCCTATGGGCGAAGGATCATGTGAGAAAAATAGTTAAGATGAGAAGCGAAAGAATAGATTCAAATACTTGATAAATTTTAATCTCATTTCTATCTATGAATTGTGCTTTAGAAGAGAATTGATCGGGTGCATCTCGGTGCATCTTATTAGTGTTGACATTCAATTACGACTGATCCAAGGATGAAGATCATTCTTACACTTATCACCATAATTTCCCCTTCTTACTGGAACTTAACCCTATATATATGTACATACACACATACATATATAAGGACAAGTTCAAACGAAAAGTTAAACGTTTTGCGGGAAGACAAGAAGTTTAAATATCATATATGATTACACACATGATACACAAGCTTAATCATATATGATTACACACATGATACACAAGCTTAATCATATACGATTAAACAAATGTTGCATTGACAACACATAGACTCTTAACAATATAAGATTAAACATATCCAAAGAAGTGTAATCATATATGATATTGAAACTTCCTATCTTCTCGCAAAATGTATAAATTTTCACATGATCCTTCCTCTCTATATCTATAGTATATTATAAAGCATTTGACAAAAACTCTTAAAAACCAATTTTTATGCGTAAAGTACTGTTTAATAATGCATATTACTTAAAACTCAAGATTGCAAGTAGATTGTGCGTAAGTATAATTTATTAAAGCTCCATATATGAATTCGTGTAACTAACTGCAGATAAACATAATCAAATACAGGATAAGATCTCATTTTAAATATAAAAATCTAAAATATAATTAGAATAATCATTGAGTTATAACATAATACTTAATTATTATCTTTATAAAATTTATATTATTAAACCAAAAATAAATTATTTCATTATTAAACTTAAATTAAATTATAATAATAAAATATATTAAAAAAATTACATAAAAAATGAAAACTTTTAAATAGTTGATTTGATATTAACATTGATATATATATAAATTTAAAATTTTTATGATATCTTCAAATTTATATTTTATTCAAAAATAAAATCATTATTGTTTTTCTTAAAAACACATAAAATCATATTATAACATCGAGATAGACAAATAATAAAATAAAACATTAAAATTGAGATGTGTCCCGTTGCATTGCACGAGTACTCTTCTAGTAATTATATAATAACCATGTCAATCGTTTCCTAATCAAATTTAAAATATAAATAATCAATAAGTCATCAGTTGTATCATTTCAGTTAATAACAAGTGTCAGAAATAGTGAATATGAGACAACAATATTGAACGACAATTTGATGGATAAAATGTTAATTAGTTATGATGCATGTTAAAAGGACAAATAGTTGTTAAAGTAGAATGTAGTTTATTTCAGTTTTTATTTTATAGAATATACTTTCAAAAGTGTAATTTTGGGAACATATTATGCCACTTTATACCATTACGAAACATCATCTTGTATTTTCTTTTTTATGCAATTAAAAGGACATAAAACTACAACTTTGTGAATAGAAAAAAGAAACGTACCACTACTTCATATTCATAAACAAAAATCAACGTTAAAAGAAATTACCATCATACTTTCTTATTTGAAATGTCTTGGTATAAACACCTAAACAAACTTTTTAAGAAAAAGTATTTTTGATTAATTTTAATCCTAAAAATAAATAAATAAATAAAAAGTTATGAATTAAATAGAATACATATAAAAACAAACATATTTCTTTGTCTTGCCATGCAAAGCCCACATATTTATTATGCTACAAAACAAACATTAATTCCTACTTCATCAACTTTCAATATCCCTCACCTAAAATTGGCAACAAGACTATATCTCTCACATACACACAACAATACACTTTTATAACAAATGAATTATGTATGTATGTATGTATGTATGTATGTATGTATGTATGTATGTATGTATGTATGCACACATATAAATCTAACAATTTTTTGATGCAAAATAGATATATGGTCTACAACAGGAATTGATAGTACCAAACTGAATCTAATTCAATCCATAAGAAAACTACTTGAGCCTGCATGTCGCTTGAAAAGTTATTGCCATCCAAATTCTAGTTATCTTGTTAGAAGAAAAACAGACCCTGAAAATGACACTAGTAAGAACCCTAGATTGTGAGATGGATGAATGAATGACATACATTGCACTTCGATTCATTCGAACTTTGAGGTTGTCTAGATGATGATGTCTTCATGAATGTATTTGATTATGAATGAACTTGTTGAGTAAAGTGAGAACTAAATGACCAGGCGTCTGGACTCCCTTAAAGATATGGAGCTTGGAAGAACATAAACCACTGATCAAGAGATGCACATATGAAGAATTCAAGAGATATGGAACATAAAGACCATCAATTGCCATGGCATAGTATAGAGTCAAGGACAAAACATGGGAGACGTTTGAGAGATGGAAAACATAAGGCCATATCTAAAATGCCAATTGAAAAGCGTAGAGAAAGACACATGGCTAATACATAACAACATAGACCAGGACCACGCCCAGAAAGAGGCAAAAGGTACCCAATGAATCATCCAAAATACTGAATACGAGCATGCATTTGAGCAAAGACATTTCACTAAAACACAGAGGTAAAGACCACTCAATGTGCATTGGTATTGCAATAAAGGATGAATACCATGTATTTTACTGTCGACATATGTAAAGATACAAACAAAAGTATCATTTACGATATTCATTTATGAATGAGAGATTAATAAACAGGATAAGATCTTCGGATGATGAATTTCTTTTGAGAAATTGGATAATCTTTTCTTAAATTGAGTAAAAACATTTCAATTGAAGTAATACTATATTGTTATTACAATTTGAAGTAAAAACATGTATTTTTTTTCATGCCGATTAGAAAAACAACATATTGTATGAAAATACAACATACTTTGATTCGAATATAATCTTTGTTTTGATAAACTGTCGAAATTTGATTGAATAAACTTTCTCCATATGTATACATCTCATTTAATTTATATAGACACCCCTTGCATTTACATAATCATCATATTTCCCATTATGATTAGGGAATAAATACATATACCCTTTTTATGATTGTCCATTATCTATAATTTGCTTTACTTTGGTTGGAAAACCACAACCAAATGGCCAATGGGCACACTATCCTGTTGCTGATCCCATTCACCGGGCAGCTGGTTCCGGTCAGTTGACCCGGCTGTCCCCACCACCAGGGCCGGGTTGGGGTCATGGGTTGGCTTGCCTTCACTTTATTCCATTCAAATTCGTCGATGCTTTTGCTGCTGCGAAGAACGAGGGCGTGTCTGGAGAAAGAAACCCTCTCTCACTTTAATGTTTGCCTCGGAATCTAACTAATCTCACTTCCACGCATTAAAGGGGATTGTCTCTCTTTGATCCTCGTGCCCTTAATTCTTCTGGGTTTTCCTTCTTTATTACATATAAATGTTCCATATCAACACACGCCATAGCTGTTAAGGATCAACATTGTCTTCATTTACCGACAACTATACGAGATACTGGGTCAAAGTAAATTGGTAGGAAGCAGCAGCAGCAGCAATGAGAGATGGAAATTCCAAAAGCAATAAGGTTTTTAATTTTACTTAGATTGTTATTCTGCTTGATTAGTGTATGTATGGGTTTGGTGAGTGATGCTTCTTTTTTCTCGTTTTTTGAAGTTCTCTTGGTCAAGGAAACTGGTGCGAAAGTGGTTCAATATCAAGAGCAAAACCGAGGAATCTGAAGCGGATAATGTTGTTTCTGGAGGTGGGTATCTAATAATATACCTTGGGGCTTTTGAATCAAAGTTATTTATGATATCCTTTGATGGATTTTTGTTTTGCTTAACGTCACCACTTTTGTTGTTTCTCTACCTGCACACCACCTGTTTGTTTTTATTTCTATACCAATTTCACTAACTGATGCTTGGTATGCTATGATATCATAGGTGGTGATGGGGGATGGATGAGTAGCTTCTGTGAAAGAGAACCACCTGCGATCAAGAAAACCAAAACTGGTACAATCTGGGCTCTTAACTTTTTCTCGATGCCATCAGAGTTGAGTAGTTAAACAATTCTCTGTTGATTGGTGAAATGATTAACTTATGCTATATATCACTTCAATGAACAGAGAAATCCAGCAAGAGTACAGAGTCTCGTAGGTGGGGAAGGGTTGATCTTGACCACCCTCAGGTTATAAATGTGCAGAACTACAGGTGTGTTAAAATCTCATAATTGTTTCCCCTTTTTGACTTTCTATCTTCTTAATGATTAAATACTAATTACAGTATTCCAATCTTGAACCAGCATCTTTTCAGCTACATGGAATGTGGGAGGAAAATCCCCTTCTAGTAAAATGAATCTTGATGATTGGTTACATGCTGCCCCTCCTGCTGACATATACGTTCTTGGGTATGATTTCAGTTTCTAATTTTCTAATGGGCTTTGGGTTCCAGCTTCCCCTTTTGATGATATATGTTTCTTGTTTCAGATTCCAAGAAATAGTTCCTCTGAATGCAGCTAATATTCTAGGCGCAGAAGACAACGGCCCTGCAAAACGATGGTTGGCTCTAATACGTAGAACACTAAACAATCGGCCTGGCACCAGTGGGGGTAATGGAAATGGATGCTACACACCATCTCCAGTTCCTGATCCGGTTGCTGAATACGATGCTGATTTTGAAGGATCAACAAGAAACAAAACTTCATCATTCTTCCATCGCCGGTCTTTTCAGGCATCTCATAGCTGGAGAAATGAAAATGATTCATCAATGCAGCAACCCCACCTTGATCGCCGTTATAGTGTATGTGACCGAGCCATCTTTGGTCATCGGCCAAGTGACTGTTCTTCAAGTCACAGACCAAGTGACTATTCCTCCTCTAGTCACAGACCTAGTGACTACTCAAATTACAGGCCAAGTGACTACTCAAATTACAGACCAAGTGACTATTCATCTGGTCACAGGCCCAGTAATTACTCATGGGGTCAAAGACCAAGTGATTATTCAAGATGGGGTTCATCTGATGATGATTATGGTCCCATGGAAGATTTACAGAACACCAATTCATTCTCGCCAATGTCCAATTGGGGATCCAACAGTATGGAAGATGGATATAGAATGCCGGGCCAATCAAGCTACTGTTTGGTTGCAAGTAAGCAAATGGTTGGCGTTTTTCTGACAGTCTGGGTGAGGAGTGAATTGAGGGAACATGTTCGAAACTTGAAAGTGTCGTGTGTTGGCAGAGGATTGATGGGATATCTTGGAAATAAGGTATCGATAATCTTACCATCTTTAACGTTCCATTTTAATTTTTATATTGAAAGATTGAAATGAAACGGATAATCACTTTGTTTTTCTTTTGCAGGGATCGGTATCCGTCAGTATGTTGTTGCATCAAACAAGTTTTTGCTTTGTCTGCACTCATTTGACTTCTGGAGAGAAGGAGGGAGATGAACTAAGAAGGAATTCTGATTTCATGGAAATCATTAAGAAAACAAGATTTCCACCTGTTCAAGGCATCAAAGACGAAAAATCCCCAGAGACAATACTTGAACACGAGTAAGATCATAAATTAGCTTCCTTTTCTCATTGTTCTAACTTCTATTAACTTGATGCATATAAAAATACTCGTATTGGCTTCTTATAAATCAGTTCTTTATGTTATCTTTTAGTTATTTTGCTGAAAATAGTAGGAATCCCAGAACAAGTGAAAGTTAGTTGCTAAGATTCTGATATTCTGTATACTGGTTCAGTCGAATCATATGGCTTGGGGATCTGAATTACCGAATCGCCCTCTCTTACCGATCAGCAAAGGCACTTGTTGAGATGCAAAACTGGAGAGCATTATTGGAGAAAGATCAAGTATGGTGTATGCTTCTCTTGCTTTGTCTTACCAAACCTGTGTTAATGATGTTTCTTTATTTCTAACCAATATTTTATTCTTGCAGCTGCGAATTGAACAACGAAGGGGCCGAGTCTTCCAAGGATGGAATGAAGGGAGGATATATTTTCCACCCACTTACAAGTATTTGACTAATTCAGATAGATATACAGGGGATAATTTGCACCATAAGGAGAAAAGAAGAACGCCTGCATGGTACGGATTTTAGTATACATGATATTTACACTTTTTATAATGAAAACCTCTCTACCTATTAGGGTAGAGGAAAGGTCTTTGTTCATCGTACCTCTCTCAAACCCTACTCCATGTAGGATATTCTGGGTATGTTTGGTTTGGTTTGGTTTGGTTTGGTTTATAATGGAGAACACTTGTGGTTAGAACATAGAAGCAACCTTTGTTGATATGGTTAATATTCACATGTGAAGGTGTGATCGTATCTTGTGGTATGGGAGGGGTCTTCATCAGTTATCATATGTCCGTGGTGAATCTAGATTTTCGGATCATAGGCCAGTATACAGCTTATTCTGGGCCGAGGTTGAGTTAGTCCACAGCCGATTTAGAAGAAGCATGAGCTGCTCCAGCTCTAGGATTGAGGTCGAGGAGCTCTTGCCATACGCCAATGGCTACACCGAACTCTGCTTTTTCTAACTAATCAATGGTAAGCTTCAATTCATGTTCATTTTAACAAGAAAATCTTGAGGGTTCTTTCACATAAATACATTACACAACGTCCCAAAATGAGTTTCCACAATGAAAAAGGCACAAGTTTTAGGAGTGTGTAATTATTGTACCTTTTAATTAACTAACCGACAATTATACCCTTAGTAACAAAGGGAGTAATGAATTTATGTATCTCATAATTAAGGGTAGAATTGAAAATATTTTTGAAGGTGGATAGTTATTTTGGGACAAACTTAAACAGAAACGTGGATGCTTATTTTGGAAGGAAGGAAGTATTAGAGTATCCTAATCGAGTAAATATTCCATTCTTTTTCATGCTTAGACAGAATTGGAAGCTGGATTTGATTCCCATGAACAGAGAAAGGCGAACGACACCCGCTGTAAAGGGATCTTGTTGGTGAGCAGTCGTGGGTGGGTCCATCTGCTTCGTGTTGAAAGAGGTGTAGATATAGTTGCAATTACAATTGGGTGAACTAACCATAAGAGGTGTGGATTGCTGGTAGAATTTAGGTGAATTACAGTTTTGAAGAAAAACAGAAATGATGTCTAACAAAATGGAGTATGTTTTTAGAGTTATGATAGAATGAGAGAAATGCCCAAATGGGGAAATGCAGATTGTTATTATTATTCTTGTTTATTTAATTCTGAAGATTCTTTACTTGTTGTTAGGGGAGGTACAAAATCTGCAACACAGATGAGATGAGATGAGATGAGATGGTGGAAATAATGATTCAATTGGTTTTTTGTCTTTCTCTTTGTGTTTGATTAAAGAATATGCAGTGAGTGAGGCAGGCAACAAAGAAATTACTACTGAAAAAGTGTGGCTTCTGTTATCTGCTTTGCTTTTTCTTGTCTGGAATGGAAAAGGACACTAAAGTCTGTCATGTTGAATTGGGTGGGAGGGAAACCTTATTCATGTTTTTTTTTTTTTTTTTTCCCTTTTACTTTTTATTTATTTATTAATTAGTATTATAATATACTGACATTTTTTTTCAAGTTGTTTTTATTTTTATTTTTTTAATAATGAATCCTTGTTCAAAAGTAGTAACTTTGATATTGGTCAAAAGACTCTTTATTTGTTTTTATTAGAATATATCTAAACATATACAATTAAGGGTGTCTTTGTTTATAACTTAACGGTATCAAGAGTTTATTTGCTCGGCTAAATAGATGATTAAGGGTTGTTTGTTTTTGTTATACAGTTTTATCAAACGTTAACTAACAATTGCTTATGGGGTCACCTAACTTATCTCTGTTATGGAAATGGAAATGGAAATGACTGAGAGAATCTTATCCCGTAAAAAGTAAGATCAAAACGGAGTGTAATACTTTATTTGTTGAGAGTTGCTTATGGGGTTACTTAACGTATCTATTATGAAAATGAGAATGATTGAGAATCCTATCCAGTAAAAAGTAAAGATCAAACAAAAAAAAATATGATAGTTAAATAAACAGAGTGTAATACTTTATTTATTTGTGATTTTGAATTTGTTTTTTTTCATCGGGGAAAGAGTGTGAGGAAGGTAATCATTTGGTGCTTTCCATCTTTTACAAATTCATGTTTTCTGGTTCATTCCCAATTGAATGTTAGAGTAAAACAAAAGTTAGATTTGATTCCTAATTTAATAAGAATATTTAAATATTCAAAGATATTCTTTTAATAAAATAAAATAAAATAAAAAGGTTAAACCAGAATTCATGATATAATATTTTATAAGGCTAGCCTGTTAATTAGTGAAGTTAAATTGTAATATCATTAATTTATTTGAATATCCAAAATAATAAAATTATGGTATCGAAAAATATTTCTTAAATATCCATGTTTTAAAAGACATGTCATGGTGTAAGCGTAGTTCTTCTCAAATTGGATCAGATCTATAATCATTATTTCATAAAGTGGTAAGAGTTTTTTCATCGTACACTTGGATATATGAAAATAGTTATCTCAATACCATTTTATAAATTTGAAGGAACTCTAACTTACACAAAAATGAAATGATTGTAAATTTACCAAAAATTCTTTAAAGTTTTTCATAAACATAAAACAAAAAGTAAACTACAAATGTGGTTTGTTTACTATTAACACTTTTCGTTCATTAAGTTTCAAAAATACAAAACAGTTATCGACTCATCGTGGCATATAAAAGCGTTCAAATTTGTTCCCTTCATTAACCGGCATTAGAAATCCCAGTTAAGTTATAAGCATTTTAGACTTTTCTTATTTTCCTTTAAAAAAGAATTAAATACTATTGATAGAAGATATGCATCGATGTTGTAGATATTCTTTTATGTGAATGATTATTGTATTAGTTAGGATTTGATTAACTTTACTTAGGGATAGCTAAGTCTATTCTTATATAAATAGTTGTGCATAATGAATGAGAGCATGGACGGATCTAGCTGGGTGGTTAATGGTTTAGGTGGCACGTGCCACCGTATTAATTCTCCATCGAAAGGAAAAAATGTAGGTTTGTGAATGGTGCAACCGTATCGTTTTAGAAGGTGCTATCGTATTTTCCTGAAACCCAAATCGTGCAACTGAAACCCAAATAAAACAAAGCCCAAATGGCCAAATCAAAAGCCTAATATGCAAAGCCTAATTAAAACTTAGCAGCCGGCCAACGAGATTACGAGAACAAACAGGAACAGGTGCAAGTCGGCAAGCAAGTCCAGACCAGACAGCAGCAAGTGAGTGACGGAAATTGAAAATCGGCTAGAAGACTCGAACGATTCTCAACTCTCAAGTGGCGATTCTCGAAAGATTTTCACTTGCTACATGGCTATTTGGTGACTTTGGTCTCTATTTTCACTTTTCAGATTTAGCCATATACGTAATCGAATTGGCGATGACCTTTTGAATTATGCCCTCATTTGTGCCATAGAAAAGGAAGCACATAATAATGTTAAAAATGAAGATTTCATCGATCGTTTCCAAAAGATGAAGACACGCCGAGGACAAATTTAGGAGGAGTTGTTTCTCAATTCTATAAAAACTATATTTTTGTAATTATTTTTCGGTATATATTGACCGGTTTCAAAAGATGAAGACACATCGGGTACAAGTTTAGGAGTTGTTTATCGTTCCTATAAAAACCATATTTTTGTAATTATTTTTGGATCTATATTATATTAATTATGTGGTGCCACCGTTTGAAAACATTTATAGGTCCGTCCCTGAATGAGAGGCAAGGATTCCAATTGCTTTTATGGTATCATAGCTACCTAAAAATCACTCCTCTCTCCCCTATACCAAAATTATCGGGCGTACCTAAAGCAAACTGCTGCCATCATCATCCTTCCTGATGAAAAAATCCGCAACTCTCCGTCTTCCGGTCACTCCTCCTTCCATGTTTCCTTAGCCGTTTCCACTGTCAAGAGCCTTATACCCATCATCCTTGAGATGGAAATCGTCCAATATGTGATGTAAGTGGAACTGTTCAAAATTCATGCCCGATCTCACCATGTTATTCAACACATCATTCCACCTTAACGGGCTCATGATCGACTATCTCAAAAGATGAAGTTCTCGAGTTATGGTCCAGGCTTGACGCAATTGTGGTCCATTAGATTTATGCCATCATCTCTAGTGATCTCTCGCAGCCTATTTTGGAACCCGACTCGACGACCATGGAAGCTTGGAACCAGCTACGAGACATATTTCAAGGCAACAAAATTCCCATACGGTCACATTTGAACATGAATTCTCTAACACTATTAAAGAAGACTTTCCTAATGCCGTCGCCTACTGTTAAAAGCTTAAGGTATTATCTGATCAACTTAAGAATGTTCGTGTCCCAGTCTCTAAAGTCTCGTTCTTCAAATGTTTGCGGGGCCTAAATGGTGTTAAAACTCTTACCCGTCAGAGTGATCCTCTACCCCCTTTCTACTAAGCCAGATACATGTTAATGCTTAAGGAAGTCGGTCTGATCAAAAAAGCATCTCAACCGCCACTGCCAATTCTGTCATGCTCAACACACCCTCCAAGGATCTCTAAGACTCACCCTATAGCGAATATGTTCATCAGCCCCCCTCCTCAGGCAATGGATGAGGAAATCAGAGAGGGAAGCAAACTCGTAGCGACAGGCCAGGTCATAACAATGGGGGTCGATGAAGCGGCCCAACCCAAGTTGTGGCAACAGTGGTCAACGTGGCGGGGGCCATGGCGTGGGTAGCTTCAGTTGTACCACCAACACTTGGCAGACCATTACTTTCCAGCCCCAATAGCCTTTGTAGTGGATGCCTTGGGTTATGCCAACTTGCCTATACCCTAATATGCCCACTTCATAATGGCCTAGACCCCCCCAATCCGAACAAAAAGGCATGTATTCTTGGGCCATGACCTCCACAATCCTACTCAACATCGGTATCATCTACTTCCAGCCCCACTGATATTGAAGCCGCCATGCACACTGTTGGACTCATTCCTTTGGACTAAATTGGTACATGGAAAACAGGGCCATATCTCACATGACATTCGACTCAAATATACTTTCCTCTTATTTTAATTTTGAGTAAAAATTGTGATGTTATTGTCGATAGTGGTCATAAAATTCCAATTCATGGTTATGGTCACACACATCTCTCCTCTTTTAACCCCCTCTCACTCAAATACGTCCTTCACGACCTTCATCTTATCAAAAACTTGTGTCTGTTCACAAACTCACTAAAGATAATGGTATTTTTATCGAATTTGATCCTTTTGGGTTTTTATGATTTGGACAGGCATACAACTCTTTAAATGTGATAGGTAAGGATACTTGTACCCTGTCACCCCTACTTCCAAAACTCAACTTGCCACCACCACCTCAACAGCTCTCTGCGCCATAGCCCCTTTTATTTGGCATGCACATTTAGGTCACGTGGGCGTCCAAATTTTCATTTTCTTAAGCGTAATAATAATATTGCTTGTAATGACTCTAGTAGTTGATGTAGATCAGTTAGCCCGAAAGATCGATGAGCAGCGAGACCAAACAAAGCCATGACAGCGAGTCGCGCCTTGACCCACGCTGACTGAACCTTTGATTAATTTCAGATTTATTTCCTTTTCTTTGCATTATCATTATTTAATAATTATCTAGCTACCATAATTATCTAGCTACCATAGTTATTAGTTTCCTAGATTAACTTTGCTTCTTAGCCTATTTAAACAAGCCTTAGCCTTATTAGTTATTCATTCAATTATCAATTAAATAAAGCTTAGCCTTTTTTTAGAATTCTTACGAATCCTTGTTATTTTCTTAAGCCCTACGCTTGTGAGATTTAATCCTTTTTCTGGGTTCTGACAATTGTCAAGCCTTTCGTGTTTCCTACTGCGTCAGTTGGTATCAGAGCACATAATCCCTGTCTCTTTTTTAATCTAACGATGGGAGATAACCAGCCACTCACTTGAGCAGATCTTGAAGGTATCACCGCGGCCTTCAACACTGCTCACAACATTACTCTCGCGACCCTCACCACCACCTTCACCGAACAAATCGGCACCTTAATCGACAATCGATGGAGAAGAAACAGGCACACTGATCATTACCGGCCACCTCGTGGCGTCCAACCCCGTCCCACCGCCAGTTCCAGTTCAAAGTCCGAACCCGAAGAAATAGCCGATCAACCACGCAATGACCCCAACTACCGAATGAAAGCCGACATTCCTTATTTCCACGGGAATGTAGGCGTGGAAGAATTCCTTAACTGGCAGATCGAGGTCAACAGGTTCTTCGATATCATGGAGATACCGGAGCATAAACAAGTCAA